CAAATCCAAGGAGTTAGTCAACTTTTGATTTTTCAAAGTTCAACTTGTCTAAAGTTCATATATGACTTAGTAAAAATATGGAAAGTCTCATGTTCTAAGGGGAGTGTCGCCCAAATGTTTGCTAATTTAGGGAGTTGGACAAAATTGAACTTTGGAAAGTTTAAGACTATTTCTGACTTCATATTCAAGCTGATATAAATTCTGGAAAGACACTTTTCCTATGGGAAGCGCTGCCGAAATTTTCTTAGTTTAAAGAAAATAGATTATATTTTGACAGGTGGCGGTTCTAGCGATCCACCCTGAATAGGGGAGATTCTGCCATTAGTCTACCTTTCATGCTTGCGGCGCACTTCTGCGCTGCGCCGTGCGGTGCGCATGCGCCATGCGCCATGCGCAAATTGGTGATGCGCTCAATTTTTTTTAATTTTTTAATTTTTATTATTTTATTTTATTTTTATTTTTATTTTTTCTTAAGGTGTGTGTGTGGGCCCCTACATCCTTCCTCTCAACTCCATTTTATTGTTTTTCAGGGGTGTGTGAGAGCAAAGGATCCCCTTAACACACCTCAGGCTGCCGATGCAGGCATTCTTAAGGGTCCTCGCGGCATTAAAGCCCAGACCCCCATCCAAAAACGAGGCAGGCAGTGAACATGAATTATACGACGAGTTGGCCGAACATATAGTGGAGATTTGAATTCAGATTTGTAATTCAACAGTTATGGGTTGGTCAGTAAGCTATGGCCTGTTGTTCTCTACACGTGATTCTCAGGGTTTGGCTGCACTACTCACCAAATGTGCAAAATTAGAATGAATCTTCTGCAGAACGTGGAATAGTACGCCGCCATATGTTTTGTCTTTTATGCATGGTCATGATTAGAGGCCCTGAGGGCCACTGCACGTATTCCTAAGAAAAGGAAAACAGAAGAAAAGAAAACAAAAGAAAAGGAAAACGAAAGAAATGAAAAACGAGAACAACGAGAAATAGTGACCCATAACCGATATGCAGAGACCTGGATTCGAATCCAGATTATATATTCTTGGCCCACGCCTAGAAGTGGGTAGTGTGAAGTTCGCCTCTACTTCACATATGGCCCCAACTAATATGTTGTAAGGGCCCTTCGGAAAAGAGGCTGGACCCAGTAGGGCATGAATACTCGCATGCATAGACGAGTGCCCACAGTTTTGGGGTATCGCATGACCCAGACTTTTTTCCCCCTTGCTCTCTGATTTTCAGAGGTGAGGGGAGGGTTTGGCCACCCCACTCTAAACTTTCTGTGGTTTTTTTTTTTTTTTTTTTTTGGATGCACCGCATCTCATGCGCGTGCGCTGTGCGCCGCATGTGCCGCGTCCCCGCGCATGAGATGTGCCGCAAGTATGCTACCTTTGCTTTGGGCACATGTTTAGGGGTAGACTTAGGCTTTGATCAGGTAGAATGATTCTTTAGTGAGATCGTGATATGGGGATTATTCTCCATTGACTTATAGATCTAGCTTGGGGATTGGCCTGTCATGTGTTACAGGTCTTCTTGACCGTTTGATTCAGGATTTGGGCGAGATTCAGCTTGATCCTGCGAGGATCATCTTCTGTTATCACTGATAACAGGTCGGTTGCCGATTCGTCGGTTTACAATTCAACTCCAATCCACTCTTGCCACTCAACCTAAAGGCTTTAGCCCTGTGGTTTGAATTGTTTTATTGTGTTTTCACCCGGACTTTATTGAATGGCCATTTAACAAAAGTACTGAGTATTTATTTCGGGGAGTTGCGCAAGAGTGAGGTCTGTATGGCTAAAGCAAGGGGTATGAGCATAGAGAATGGTTGAAGTTGACCCCGTGTAGTGCGTGGACTTTTGTTGGACTTTTGATGTGACTGCAGGTATGTTTGTGGTCCGAACTCTGGATGTGACTGCCTGCGATTACATACATATATGGCTGAGAGGAATCTCACTGTGACTGTGAGAAGTGATCGTCCTGTACTAATAACCATTTACATATATATAATGAGTCGGTGAAACTCCGACGAAACAGTTTGTCACAGCCCCTCGTTTGTTGTCCTCTTCTCTCTCTCTGCCTACGGTTTACCGGGCAGTTCTATTTGTGACGATATATATATGAGTGTACCTATGTTGGATGTTCGCGTAGCCTGAGGGGCCGCTTACTAAAGGCGTAATTAGGGGTTGAGATTGAGAGAATAAGGAAGACCCCTCCTCTTGTCTGTCCGCTTCTTGAGAGTTCTTAGTTGGACGTTATAGTCCGTGGCAGCCGTCAAAGCCAAACCCCTTGACTCCTGTCCAGGCCTAGAGTGGGGCTCATCCCGAGGGCAGTAAGAAACGACTGCCACCACAGGTATGGACATGTGTACCACCCACTCTGCACAGGGTGCAGAAGAGGGCGTGTGGTCTTTAACCGCGCATGACGGTTGTCCAACGTCGAAAGATTAGTCCTCAAGGCGCGTGTCAACCGACACTTGAGTGTCCAATGCGATCCTCGAGATTAACGAGGACCGCCTGAGCATGTGTACTACATAGTACGCCATCGCTGCGACCGCCTGTGTACGCTTGCATTGCGAGTCGATATGAGCTAGCCCTACATCCGCGCGGTTTTATACTAAGTCTCGCGCGCGATGCCTATTCGATTTCCGCATCGGAAAGTTATGAGATGGCTACTGAAGGGACTAGGAGTGTTGTCGCGTTGTTCGATGTGTGTGTGTGTGTGTGTGTGTTTTATTTTCGCGTTTGTAGAGTGGTGTATGCGTCGTGAGTGGGATGTGTCCTTGTCGACCGACGACGAGTCGCGCTTGGGACCTCAGCCCCCCAAGATGTCGGTTCGCGTGCGGATCCGATAGAGGTGTATTACCGCGCGTGCGCCCTATGCTACAGCGAATGAGAAACGCCCTCGGCTGGTCCACCTCTGCGATTGCAATTGATCAGCTTTCGTACTGTGGACTGGTAGCTCGGCGGGGATACGCCCACCGAAGGGAGGTGACAACTCCCGTAAGGTGGAGGTAAGTCGTGCCTCGCGTAGGNCTTTCGTACTGTGGACTGGTAGCTCGGCGGGGATACGCCCACCGAAGGGAGGTGACAACTCCCGTAAGGTGGAGGTAAGTCGTGCCTCGCGTAGGCCTCATCCTGTCGTAGGGGCTCGCGGGAGGTATGGCTGGCGCACTCGGCCAAAACTGCTTGCGGAAACTCCACGTATATTTGCGACGAAGGATTTAAACCAACTCCTGCGTGACGCGGCCGGGAGGGTCCCGCGCTGCCCCGTGCGGTGCCGGACCGATGCGCTCGACACCGGGCCACCAAAATCGCTGTACTAGATTGGCACTCATTTTTTTTTAGCCAAAGTGTCCGGTTGCGTCATGACATTCTCCTAAGAATAAACTACGCAAACGTTCACTTGATGGAACAACTAACCTTTTAAATCCGCCTTACCAAGAAAGAGAATCCCGTCCACCATCACAAACTCATCTTCTGTGGCCTTGTCTTTTGCCTGAAGTTTGCGTATGATGTCCATCGTGACAGGATCTTCCTTATAGGCTCCCACCAGCGATTGAGTTAGTTCCTCAGATACACCAAACTCAGAAACTAGCGCCCCTATGTAGTCTGCCCTACGTGATAGCGCATCTGCAACCTTGTTGTACTCTCCCTTCAGGTACTCTAGCTTGAAGTCATACTGATCGATGACCTCAATCCAGCGCTTGAGTGCATCAGAAAGAGCCGGTTGAGTCTTGATCCATTTGAGGGTCTGATGGTCAGTTCTCAAATAGAAAAAACCGTCCCAACAGAAAGTGCCTCCAATGGACAAGTGCTTTGTAGAGAGCATAGAGTTCCCTTTCATTGGTGGACTTTGCCAGTTTCTTAGATGGCATCTTTTTGCTCATATACTCAATCGGTCTCAACTTCTTCCCATCCTGCTGAACCAGCACTGCGCCAATGTCGTATTGGCTTGCGTCAGTGGTTACAACGAAAGGCTTTTGAGGATCGGGCACCATGAGAACCTCATGATTCATGAGTGCATGCTTCAATCGTTTGAAAGCAGCCTCGCACTCATCACTCCAGTCCCACGGCGTGTCAAGTCGAGTTAGATCAGTCAAAGGAGAGGCGACTGTGGAATAGTTATTTACGAAGTTTCTATAGTAGCCGCACATTCCTAAGAAAGATCTGACCTCAGTAACAGTCTGAGGTCGTGGCCAGTCCCTGATACTAGCCATTCCTAAGAAATACCTTTCGCGGATACTTCATGACCCAAGTATAAGATCTTAGTGCGTCCAAACTCACATTTCTCTAGGTTGACCTTATACTTGTGCTGTCGCAGGAGAGAAAGTACCGTCTCAACATATTGTGCATGCTCCTCGACAGACTTACTAAAGATAAGAATATCGTCAAGGTAAACAACGACAAACTTATCTAAGTGGTCATCGAAGATCCTATTCATGGCATGCTGGAATGTACCCATTGCAAAGGCCAAAGGGCATCACTACAAACTCATACAGACCGTATCTGGTCTGAAAAGCAGTCTTGTGCTGATCCTCAGGTCTTATTGCAATCTGATGGTAGCCGGACTTTAAGTCTATCTTGCTATAGTACTTGCATCCCTGCACCCTATCCGATAGGTCGTCTATGCGAGGTAGAGGCTCTGCGTTTTTCACTGTGATGGCATTGAGGCCTCTGTAATCAATGCACATCCTCAATGTACCCCCCTTCTTCGGTACAAATAACACTGAAGATCCAAAAGGGGAAGTACTCGGCATGATCCATCCCTTTTCTGTTAGCTCTTTCAGTTGTCGCCGAAGTTCATCCAACTCGGTCGGGGCCATCCTATAGATCCTTCCCTTTGGGGTTTTACTCCCTGGAATGATTTCTATGGCGTGGACAACCTCCCTATCGACGACTCCTGTGGGCTCTGTGAACAGATCAGGGAACTTAGCAACGACGTGTTCTATCTCTGGGGGTGTTTTAACGGCCTCCCCTTTCTCAAAGACATATACTAGGTACATACCCTCCTCTTGGTTCTGTTTATAGTAATTATAGAACGCTGATGCACACAAGCAGCCATAGGTATCGATTATACTACTGGCTTTGAACTTAGTCAGTCTCACTGTTCTTCCATCAGGCAACTTATGCTTTAGCACCTTCTTGTCCCAGTCAAACTGGGGCTTGGCAACCGCAAGGTAGTACATTCCTAACAACATGTCAAATGGTAAGTCGTCGCTAACCAGGAACGAAATCTTGTGATCAAGTTCCCCTCCTCCATAGGAGAAGGTACAGACCACATCCTTGACATAGTCTGTGACTACCATGCGCTCCTTATTGGCCAAAGTAGATGCTACTGGTCTACTAAGGTGTTGTACCCGGTCCTTTAGGTGCAACCTTTTCAAACAGTCGTGACTTATGTAATTCCGTGTGGAGCCGATGTCTATGAAGGCACCACATTCGCGGTCTCCTACAGCAACTTCCACAACGAAATGTTCCCCTCTAGGACCTCTTCTTAGTGCCACCCAAGATTCGCGAGGGTCCTTGCTTGACCACTCGCTTTCCAAATCTTCTAAGGCTTCAGACACATCCAACGTACAGAGCATAGTTTGGTCTGGATGAGTCTGCAGGGTGACTAAAGAGTCATTAGCTATGGCCTTCTCATGAAGTGGGGAGGGTATCTGACCCACTTCACCATGAGTAGAAGCAACTAAAACTTCCACCGGCCTCACATGTTTCCTGAGCTAGAAGCTTGGGAAGAAGGTACTCCTCCCTTAGGGGGTATCTTCTACGTGACCTTTGCGTTCTTGCACTTGTACTGGGTGTGTCCGTATTCACCACAGTTAATGCAAGCACCACGCACTCGACGGTCCCGCCACACTTCCTGATCAAGACCTGCCTTGACCCAATCAGCAACTTTGGTCTGGTTGGAGGCGGCCTGCCCTTGACTCTTTTGATGGCCCTTCCCTCGGCCACCTGCCTTAGTCTTTACAACTGCAGCGAGTGTGCTATCCTCAGCGGTCTCCTCGCCGTCGTACTGTGTACTGTCCAACAGGTCTGAAAGCTCCTCGATCTCAGTTTGGGTCCCATCAGACTCAACCATCATCAATCGACTCCCCTTCTTCTTCCACTCCTGTGGACTCTTCTTCTTCCTCTCGTCTACTGGAGTAGGCTGAACACTTCCTAGATTAGCTTCTAAATCTTAGGCCTTTCTAGAGAAGGTCTCAAAGGAATGATACTCGAGGCGAGCCTCACTGGCCAGCAAATTTATGAGATTCTCTGGGAGACATCTCACAAACATGGTCAATAAGACCTGGTCATCGTAGCATATGCCGGGAACGACGATGAGGCTCTCTACGGTGGACGTTAGCTCTCTGACTGACTTATACTTTCGTTGGTCTAGTCTGAGCATCGCATCAGTGGCAATTCGTGCCTGCTGTGGATTATGCTAGCGAGCTTCTACCATGTCTAAGAACTCTTCTAAAGTAAGGGTCTTAGCCCAGTCTGTCATGCGTCATCCGTACCCGGCCTTTGCTATTAATCCATCCAGCCATTTGGCTGCCTTACCCTCAAGGTAAGATGCAGCAGTAATCACCTCCTCCTCCTGCAAAGTCCTCTTTGCCCTTACCCACACTGGAACCGTTCTCAACCATGTGTTGAGTTCCTCGTCCTTCTTCTCTCCAGAGAAGGCAAGGGACGGTTTCATAGGGTCTTTGGGTATCACTGACCTTGCTGCTGTCCCTGTTGAGGAACAGGTTGCTGCGGTGATGGTGTAGCTATCACCGCTGACCCAGAAGAAGAAGAAGCAACAGTCTGTGCGGCTGCTGCAGACGTACCACTTGGTTGTGTGCCAGCTTGTACCGGAAAGGGGCCTGACATCGTCGTTAACGGCAACGGCGACTGTGCTGCTGGCCTAAATCCTGGCTTTTGCAAAAGGTCCAAGATCTGGTCCAAAGAGTTTTGCATGAAGTCCAGTCTGCTGTCCACATGCGCATGCAGCGACAGTACGTTGTTCTTCAATAATTTCATTTGGTCAGTCATGGCTGACTCATCCAAACCCTCTAATGCAGCTTTGTCTGCCTCTAACGTATCAAGCCTGACTGTTCTATTTTTGATCTCTTTTTCTATATCGGTAGCTTGCTTCAGTTCCCTCTCTAACCGAGCGCGGATCCTTTCGACTTGTTGGAGCTCTTGTAGCTCCCTACCGCGTGGGGTCAACGGGATGAATTGCGAGCCCGCCATTTGACTTGTGGATTGACCAGTACCTACTGATCCGGAAGTACCCGCGGGCCTTGAGGGCATTCCCAACAGGGTACCAGACGAGGATGCAGCAGAGGATGCTGCTGCGGTGGCCATTGCTGCTGCGCTGGCTGCTGCTGCAGCCTGTTCCCTAGCTGCGACGTTTGCTGCCTCCCTGGCTGCTGCGAGAGCACGGGCTCTGCGTTCGGCACGAAGCCGTCCTTCGTCTCCCGGTTGTAGGGCCTGAAACACGCGCGGGACCCTAAGTGATCTCGAACGTGTCAGCCTCTGATCGTCAACTCTACCCTCATCGATGTCTGACCCACTCATCAGTTAGGCAAACACTATTTGCACTACAACCCCCTGCTGGAGTCCTACCACAGCATGTGTCTGACCGACACCTAATTTTCTAAAAATAAATGTGTCCGGCAGGTCCCCTACTTGACCGATCAAGTGGCAGCCTACAACATTCACAAAAGACTGTCAACATAGTTTAGTTCTGTTATGATTAGTTCACTTACAAAAGCTTTGCACAGAACTGGCTATGGTAGCATACAACAGTCCTATACTAAACTGTCTGTGAGGTGTTAGCAGTCTGTCAACCAACTAATCAACAATAAAACCAGACTACGTTGCAGATGTATGGACAGTGGATATAGTTGTGTTTACAATTGAGCACCAATTAGAACCTACCCTCCCCTCGATCCAACATGCCGATGAGCATCAAGAGCAGCAGTGTCATAGGTGTGCAATGTCGGCCCACCCCTGTGCCCCAGGTGCATGCTTATGACCAGGCTTGCCCATTCTTTATCCTCTCGTGCAACGAGCCGTACATCCGAATGATCTGGCTGATCAAGAGGCCTATTTAAGGACTGCCCCCAAGGTCGATCAGGAATTATTTAACGTCGCAATCAGGACGACGATCACAGCCAGTATCAGATCGGAACCATCCAGAAATGTTTATAGACGGTCTGGGAGCGTCTGCACATGTTTAGTCCGCACACCCCTCTATTAGCGCAGCAAAAGTGCCCTCAAGGACAAAGCAGCCATCGCATGCGTGTACTAATCCCATTGGGTTGGCATGGTGACCGTCACCCATGTGCTTCGACCAGGGCCCTTCAGAGGCACCGCCCTTTCTCCTTCCAAATGCTTCACCGGGAAGATTCTCGTCTCTCAAGGTAGCGCGCTCACGACACCTCACCAAAAGAGAGGACTCTCAAGTTGTACTCACTTCCTCGCGGTAAGAAGAGATTGAGAGGGTAGATAAGGTAAGGGAACAACGTACCTGGAGATTGCTGCCCCCAACCACAGATTTCTCACCAATTGAGCTGAGTGTGCATTTGATGACCGGTCGTAGCCTCGGTACCACTCACGACGCAAGGCAGTGCCACCTCAGCCAAATGCCACATCAGCATGCTCTCATCACCAATCATACATTCCACCGTCACCACGGCATCCCATGCCGTATAGCCTTCCGGCGCACACCTCTCTACCCAGGTCGTGCGCCTAATATGGCCTGACGTCACAAGAATCAACTGCGAAGAAGCATCGTCAAACGCACCAAGTCTGTATAACGCCAGCGCACCAAGGTAAGTGGCGAATCGAACCAGCTCCGATACCAAAATGCAAGGAACATGAATGTGGACGAAGCACAGAAATCCAGATTGCAAGGTAAGTGGCGAATCGAACCAAGGTAAGTGGCGAATCGAACCAGCTCCGATACCAAAATGCAAGGAACATGAATGTGGACGAAGCACAGAAATCCAAATCGCAAAATCACACTGAAGTCCAAGTAGTCAAAGCAAGAGCAGATAGCACAATGGAACCAAGTAACCATCCATTTGAGAACATACAGCAAAATCGTGAGTCAATGTCCAAGCCCAATCGGGCAACACCAACAGCATAACCCAATGTAGCTCTCTCTCTTGAATGGCGCCAGGCGCCCTATCTCTACTCTACAGCCTATCTCTACAACTACAGCATGAAAGCAACCAGACAACTTGACGACCAGCGAGTGATGACGTCAACACCAATGCCGACTTCCTCTCCACCAGGTATGTCTCTCTCTCTTCACCCTCACTCTCCCTTGTTATCCCACACTGTGCCCTTCACCTCCGAAGAACCACCTTCGCCCTTCACCTCCTCTGCGCCCACAGGCAGCCCGGCTATGGCCGCCAGCGCCCTGCGCCCAGGCTGCGCTGTACCGCTTAGCGCTAGCCTGCTTCTCTCAGCCACTGCGCAGCGCAAGTGCTAGCGCTACAATGCAGCAGCATGCCCACAATGCCTGCATTGGCCAAGATCCCTGCCCACTCGCCCTCCCTGCCTATATGCCAGTGTTGCGTGCGGGCGGCCTCCCTTGAGCCTGCGCCTGGGCCCCAGTACCTGTACCCAGGCCCAATGTGGTTGGGGCCCAGGAGATGCAGTTGCGCCTCTTTCATCAAGGCCTGCGACCAGATTCAGATAGTGGACTGGTTTCCCATTGACATTTTCGGCCTCTATATCCAGCATGCATTGTTGGCCTCACGTTTATATGCCCACGGCCTAACCAATCCTGGGGCCGTGGGATTTCTGCATTTGCAGAGATCCGATACTCGGTGCACTCCAACCAACTGGCGTGCGGCAACTGTATGGGCCCCAATTCGTGAAATGTTTGAACAAAGGGCTCTTGTTGATTTGCTGGCCCGCCTTCACTTAGGGCGGGCACAAGGCTTGCTGGGGGCCTTAGCCCAGAACATGTACATCACGGCAAGGCCCCTTTGAGGGCTCAATCCTCACAGATGTGAGGTGCATGCCTATAATTTTGAAGTCATTTTCCTGAGCCAAACAAAAATTAAAAATCACCAAAGATGGTGGTGTCAAAACGTGACTATTTTGTTTTTTTTTTCACTTTTGTACTTTTTGTTTTCACTTTATTGCGGGACCTAAACAATTTTATTATATTTTGAATTTTTTTGGTGAGTTTGGTCTTATGTGAAGTACAAATCTGTAAATTTTCAGGGCATTTGGCTGTGCTAAAAAAAAAAAAAAAATCACCAAAAATGGCGGTGTCGAAAACATTCTCACCATGGCTACGATCCGGACGTCCGGACCGCCGTCCAGACGGTCCGGATTCGGTCCGGACTCCGGACGTCCGGTCCAGACGGTCCGGATCTGCCAAATTTCGAGGAAAAAAAAAAAAAAAAAAAGGGTCCAGAACCTTTCCCGATTGAGGAGCCAAGCCCCCAAAATTGTTTTGGGGGGTTTTCAGGCCTGTTTATGCTTTTTTGGGGGGTACGGACATGCTCTCTCTCTCTAATAATTTATTAGACAACCCCAAGGTTTTGATTATGAATAATTCATTACCTTTTATTAGTTTTTTTGACTTTTTTAAGTCTTTTTTTAAGCTTTTTATAGTTTTTGACTTTTAACTCAAGTTTGGCTAGGAATTCTGACATGACTCTGAGGCAAAAGTGGTTTGCGTTGTTATTCTGCATAACATACTTTTTTTTCAGATTTTTTTATTTTTATTTTTTTATAATGGTCCGGACATTTCCGGACCTGTCCAGACATCCGGACCGTCCGGATCCCCCCATGTCCGGAGGTCCGGAAATGCCCGGAATTCCGGACGTCCGGAAACCACCGGACACGGGTCCGGTTCCATGTCTGGAAATGTCCGGGTCCGGGTCCGGCGTAGCCATGGTTCTCACTCACTCACTAATTTTAATTCTCTTTTCATTTTTTCTTATTTTTATTATTATTTTTGTCTGTTTTTTATTTTTATTTCAAATTTGGTAAGGAATTTGGATGTAATGCTAAGGCACACATTGTTTATTTTATTTGTCTTCATAATGCAAGGAAGATGAGCAATAGCGACTTCAGCAATCAAACAGCATCATACACATGAGACCAGATAGTCGTGACCTCGAACCAACAGCAGAATTGCATCACGAGTTTCACCAAATCAGAGCACACCAAAAGCTCATAATTGACAATGTTGGAATGAACGAACCACACTGGCAAAGATCTATGGATGACTTTGCAGTCCCATATCTACCGACCAACTTCCTGCTGATGCCCCCCTGCAGCCTCCCCTCCACGACTCCCTCCTACTCCTGACACCTCAACCATCTACCCGCCCCACGCCATTGCTTCCCGTATCCCTTCTCCTCCCCCCCCCGGACCCCACCCCCCCACACCTGCTGCAGTCGTCGCCGGCAACTGGACATCCTGAGACAACCGCTATGAGGACAAGAGGGACGACAGATGTGGGCACCCAAGGAGTTCATCTCTTGCCAACGTGAATACTGGAACAACTGGTGCCATGAAAAGAAAGTGACTGCGATGTTCAGAGGGAGCAGGGGTTAGGGGTTGGGGGTTTAAAGCCTGCTCCCCAGAACCCCTGTATGCCAACGTACCGGAGGACACCAAGATATATCAGGCGCTCAGGGGATGAGTGAAGAGGTACACAAGAGCCAGCTACAGATTTGACTACACAACACACTCCCACAGAACATAGCAGTCCCTGAAAAGACCACTAAAACAGCCTAACACAGTCTACCATTATAAGACATTGTTCAAAACTTCATGTTCCGAAGGGAGGGGGCAGGGGAACGGGAGGTTGGATTGCCTACACGCACACAACACAGATCATCGGTGGTTCGACCTGGCTCCACGAGAAGAAGGACATACCAGATATGGAACCAGAATCACCTGGCTGCTGCCAGGCCAAAGACTACGTGTAGGCAAGAAAGGTAGGCTAGTTAGCCTGCAGGCACGGACACTCACTCGTTGGTGACTCAGCTTGGCTCCAAGAGCAAAGGGAGATAGCAGACATAGGACTCGGCTTTAATTGTCACCCGGATGACGACGACATAGAGGCAAACTAGCTAGCAGGCTGACAATAAGTGTGGTTCTGTTGACAAACCGCCTCCTTGAGGACGGTCTGCTAACATTCTGGCTACCATAAACAAATGTCTGTGCAAACGGGAAAGTATGCTGTTCTGGGACGCTGGACCCGGTTTCCAGCAGGTGCAGCTCCCCACCAATAGATGGAGCCTCCACGAAAGTGATAGAGGTGTCTGCTCTTATCAGCACCCCTATCACTACCTCGGGTTGTTTTTTCTGAAAAAAA